TCCTTGACAGCCAGGCAGCTTGTCCCATTTTCTTAGCCATTCAGCAAACTGTTCAAGATAATGCACTTGTTCATCATCATTTGACAATACAGGATTTGAGAATGAGTTCAGTGTCTTTTTTACCTACAAATTTACTTTTTACATTAACAATATGCCACCATCTAAGGATGGCTTAAATAAAATCTGCTGTTTCATTACTGCCTACTAGACGCAGAGCAGCAACATTGTATTCATTAAAAATTGCCAAGGCAAGAGGAACATTCTGTCTGTCCATGCTGGAGGGATAGATGGCTTTGTGGGAAAGTTTAGGTGCCAGTTTTGCAATATTCTTTTGCTCACTATAATACAGTTTCTTTAAATGAGAAAAGTTAGCTTCTGCAGCTCTATCAGTATCACAGGCGTTTAGCATTTGTCCAGTTATTAAAGGATAAGTAAATGTCTGGTTTGTGTCCTTCTGGTTGATCCAGTTCCTCCACATGCATTTTAGCAAGTGCACAGAATCATGCAGTAAAAATATTTTTTTTATTAGCAAAATCTGGGTTCTCAATAAAAGTTTGGCTTGGTTTCAGGAGATCACTGTAAACTCTTCGATTGACAGCACTATTATCTGCAATTACAGCAACCACTGTGAAACCACACTGCTGTACAAAGTGGATACAGTGGAGTAATTTCAAACGTAGATCCTGAGATGTCATTCTGTTCACAGGTGAAAGTTCTATAATTTCCTGGTAGCTTCCAAAAACTGAAGATAAGAGGAAAGCCTGCACTGTTGTTGCTGCTTCTTTTGCATTGTCTGCATTGCCAAATATTTTGCCCCCAGAGTAAGTAATTGCAGATTTAACATATATTTCATCCATCTGAACTACTACAATCTTTTCTAGCTCTGTCAGTTTGTCTTGTTTCAATTTCATGTACTGTGAAATGCTGCCAGTATGAGTAGACAATGACAACTGTGAAGTTAAATTGTGCAGTGTTCTTTGATGAGGCAGGCACAACATACGAGATTTTCTTATAAAACCGGTAGCATGCTGGAGATTTAATGAACAGCATGAAAGCGAAACATAATGTGCTACAACTGTAACGCCTTCTGTTTTTTAACACGGTTAAAAGTTGCAGCTGCTCTGCAAGAAAGTTTACTTGTGTGTCAGTTACTTCATCAGCTGTCCCATTAGGAGTCCACTGTTGCTCTGCAGCACTCTTCAAAATACTTCCTGCTTCTTCCACTAAATCTGTGAAGCTATTTTGGCTATGAATTTTACTATAATCCCAGGCATTGTAATGAATTACAAGATTTTCAAGCTGTGACCATCTCACAAGTTTATTGTTGTCTACAATCCATTTAAGGTCTTTGTCTTTAACTTTTTTATTTTGAACAAAGACTTGTATAGTCATATCAAGTAACACCTTTTATGCTGACACCTATGGATGGTGCAGAGTCTGACTGTATGGTAATGACATACAAAACAATACATGCTAAAGCTCCATCTACAGAAGTGTATTTCCAATTTTTTTCAAAGTGTCCTTTCAGTTTGTTTCCTATCTGTGACTCCAGATCTTGGAAATCTGTAATGATATCTGAGGACAGCCAATCATTCACTTTTCGATCGTAATTACGATTAATATGTGATACACGTTCCTCTGGAGTTTTGCGAGAGGCTGGTACTTTCACCGATAAATAGGATGGAAGATCTGGAAAGATAGTTGGATAAGCATCTTTTTTTAAAGCGGGATTCTTTCTTGGGAGTATATGCTCGATTCCAGATTTGTCTGTATATTTATCAGACACAATAATATCTGACGTACGAAAATGTTTTATACATACTACACTGGTTTTCCCAGGAGTCCAATTTTTCCGTGGAATATGTTTCAGCCATTTGTCTCTTAAAAGAGAATTCGAAGGGAATCTGAAGCAACTTACATATCCACTAGAAAGGTCATAATTTGAACGACACTCAGGTACAGAACATTTAGCAGGCATAGTTCCTCGAAAACCAACACACTGACGATAAATCCAACGTAAATTGCAGAAATTGCTTACTAAATCTACTCCCTGAAATACCGCTTTTAGGTGAATCAGACGTGAAAATTAAACCACATTAAAAACTTTCACAAGAAAAATAAAACCGAACACACACTGATACAACCATTTTGTTTGCCTCGGGAAGTGACGTCACCAGTCGAGTTTCAGGGCCTGTAATTTTCGAAGGCGTCGGACTGACTGACTTTCTACCCCACCAGGACATCACACAAGCGACAAACACCCGATGACACAAAGTGCCACCATGCGGATGAGGATCGCCGTGGAGAGGTCCCAGAAACCGCGTTCAGACATTTGGCCATATATATGGCCTGCCTATATTGCGGCCCCTGGCAAAAGCCAGAGTAGGGCTTCAAATAACAAAAAATTTCGTCCTAAAAAGGACGAAACTGGATATGTGTCCATCTGGTGCAGGCATTTTGGATTTGAAACAACAACAGTGTCACAGTGATGCTACAAAAATGTTTTTGAACTTTTCTGTAAGCCAGTGCTATGAAATTGTGTAAAAATTAACACAGAATTTAAACAGAAAAAATCTACAAATTGTCTTAATCTGTATAATTTTAGAAGATATTAACAGACTTATTGGCTCTACTTGCAGATTTGGCCGGCAAGCTGGACGGCGTCGGTCGGCTTAGTGGGAGTTATGTCCCTTTGCCAAACTCAAAATAAGTCACGGAAAAAGTTACGATTCAAATGACATACTTACCTATCATCATCCGGGTGCGTGTAGGGTTGCGTACGGTTGCGTCTAGGGTTACCTATCATCATACGGTTGCGCGTAGGGCTGCATAGGGTGTCTATCATCATCATGCGGTTGCGTGTAGGGCTGCGTAGGGTGTCTATCATCGTCATACGGTTGCGTGTAGGGTTACTTAGGGTTTTGGTTAGCAGTAGGGTTAGGGGTTAGGGTTAGCGGTAGGGTTAGAGTTAGGGGTTAGGGTTAGATGTGAAAATTTTCACGTAAGAGGTCGAAATACTGGCCGACAATCTGATGTCTGTGGGAGTGGCGCCACTGGAAGCGTGGCAAATATGACGGCAATAGCGCGCGGCTGGTGCCCAATCGGTGGCGAATTGTCTGTGTCAGTAGCATCCACTGTCCGTCGACTGTTTGCGCGTGCATGCGACTGTGCGTGATTATAGGGAACTACGGCGTCACAATTGTCACATCTAACGCTACACCTAACCCTAACCTCTAACCCTAACTCTATCTGTAACCCTAACCGTAACCCTAACGCTACCCCTAACCCTAACGCTACCCCTAATCCTAACCCTACCCCTAACCCAAACCCTAATCCTACCACTAACCCTAACCCAACCCCTAACCACGCAAATTTATCGGTCATTAAAGCTTACAGATCGGCAAAACACCCACAGACAGACACACAGAAAAAAAAAAACCCCAGATTTTCCCGCAGCGTCAAAAGAAAAACCCAGATCTGGGGGACACAACCAAGCATTGGCAGCCCTGATGTCGACCTCACTGTCGTGTTTGAGTCGTGACTTTTTCCGCTCGTTGTTGTGAGTGCGGCCAAGGGAAAGAACTCCCACTACGCCGACCGAAGCCGACCAGCTTCCGACCAAATCTGCTAGGAAAGCCAACTTATTTACAGTGAACAAAATTGATTTATCGTTTGACTTGGTAAAACCATGTTATGTCACAGCCTGCAATAACTCCTAATGCCCGGCTTGCTAGCTCAGTTTGCTAAACCTGCAGACTGTGCAGCGACCGGGTGACAAACTTCTTCTGGTCAGGGTTAACGCCCAGGGGTAGAAAAGCCACATTTTCTTCTAGATTTATGGTAGCTATCATGGAATCAAGACCGAAGGGCTGCGAGAACTTATGGTTTCTGGATATTTGAAAAAATCAAAATCCTAATAATAATTGTCTCTATATCTGTATGATTTTTCACTCAAAGAGGACAGAAAAAAATTGTTTCTCAGCGAGGGTCAATGCTTCCCTATTTTTACGTTCGCAATATAAACAAAAGAGGTAAATTTTATAGTCGATTAGTGTCCATGACAATGTCATGGCTTCACTTCATTATCCTCTAATTTTAAAAAAATTATTTAATTTTAATTTTTAGTTTGCTTTTACACTTCAAAAAACAAAATCTGATAACTAAATAAACAGTTGACAGCAGTTGCCAAAAGTGAGGTGAAACAGTTCAGCATGAATCAACCCCAAAAAGTCTACATGGTGAGGGGATTAATCTGTTTGGCTATCTTCCGAATAACGGTCCTAAATTATCAAGGCCGAAAATATACCCTAACAGGGCCTCAGTCACATGTAAATTGCAGACTTCCGGCAGCTTAAATTGCGCACTTTTAGCGACTACCGCCATCACAGAGAGTATCTCCCATGCTGCTATGAGCAGCATGGATTGGGGCTAAACTAGATGGCTGGGACTCACGAGCAGCAGCTACCGCTTCTCCTGCAGCTTCCTTCATTTCATTTGAGTCCCATAGCTCTCTCCTCTGAAGATTGTGGATTCTGGTAAAGACTATCCTTTGGTCTATGAGCACAAGTGTTTTGGAGATCCCTGGGTGTTGTAGGTGGAGCTTTGAAGTTCGTGGTTTGCGTGATGGACAGAGTGAGCCGTGTGAGGTAAATAAATTTGGTGCAGTCTAGTCAGTCCCCTTACCTTTAAACAAAAATCCAAATGTCATTATTGTATCGGCTATCCAGGTGTCTAGTAGCTCATGTTGTCATGGTGATGACAGAGTTTAGCTCTAAATATTAATAATTTTTCAATATCATTACTCATAAAGTCCTTCATTAACTGTTCAAAATGTTCATGTGAAAAATTTGTTTTGGAGCATTTTAAATAAGTTTTTCTCCTTATCTCTTTTTTAGGGTGAATGTTGACCCTATCAAAACCATGGATGTCTGTCAGCTTTCTTAGAGGATGCGATTGACCCAGATTTGGCTGCAGTCTTTGTGAGGAAATATTTGTTGGCCATGGATCAGAGAGTCGATAATGGGCAGAAAAAGAAAGCATCCAATGTGCTCGATCTCTCAGACTTCGTAACAGAAGTGGACAGATTTTCTCGACTTATCGAACCATTTGCCCTAATGTTTTACGCAGTTGATGATATCCGCAGGTGAGACCTTTATCTTGTGTGCCCTTCCTTGTTTAATGGCTTAGTACATGCATTTTTGTTTTATCTTGATACCATTGTTCCTTCTTTTTCGATCCAGCTTGAAGTATGTCTAGGTACATGCATATTTCTTTTATATTGTATCGTTGTTCGTTCCTTTTTGATCCAGGTTGAAGTGTGCCTCGGTACATGCATATTTCTTTTATCTTGTACCGTTGTTCGTTCCTTTTTGATCCAGGTTAAAGTATGCTTTGGTACATGCATATTTCTTTTATCTTGATACTGTTCCTTCCTTTTTGATCCAGACTAAAGGTATAAAATAAGTATTTATAGTCTTGTAGATTTAGCTTTATTGTACTCTTGATTTATCAGACCATGGCTAAAGTGATGCCATTCAGAGTAATGAACTAGGGAATGAGACAAATCTGGACACCCTCAAGATTGAACATTTTTGTTACTGTAGTTTTACAGAAGCTTCTGAAGTTCCTAAATAAATAAAACCTTCTATTGTTAATGGTAATTAATTTGTATTTATAACTTGGAAGTAGACTGGGTTGTGTGTTTTTGATTTTGATTTAAAATCAGCAAAGGGTTTATGAAGTTGTGAAATCCCCATATAAAGAAGGCTTTTAGCAAGTTTTGCTTGTAAGTGGGCACATCACTGCTTGACCTGAGTTGATCTCATATCGAGGATTGAACAAAGTCAGTTGTGTGGACAAATCTAGATACTTTCTTAGTGGTGAATATTGAGAATAAGGACCATCTTGTCACTGTGTTATTGGAGTTTTTCTGGTGAGGTCAGATAGGCAAGAGAGTCTGTAAGTGGGTGTTTAGATCATTAGCTTGGGTGCTGTTCATTAATCCAGGTAATGAAGTTGCTCAGGTGTCTGGAATCTAAATTCTGGCTTATCTGGCATCAAAGAAAACATTCACCAGCAAATCTGTCTCATGTGAATAAAATATAACAGCATGACGTCATCCATATGTTACTGTGGCCCAGACACTGTAGTCTGCTAAGCATGTTGTATGAGGTAACTAAGCTTGGTTGATGTGAGACAGGCTACCTACCTCACAAAAGGGCTGATATCATGTGGTGTTGTGGTTTACATCTGCTCTGTGATATCATGTGATGTTGTGTTTTACATCTGCTCTATGATATCATGTGGTGTTGTGGTTTACATCTGCTCTATGATATCATGTTGTGTTGTGGTTTACATCTGCTCTATGATATCATGTGGTGTTGTGGTTTACATCTGCTCTATGATATCATGTGGTGTTGTGGTTTACATCTGCTCTATGATATCATGTGGTGTTGTGGTTTATGTCTGCTCTATGATATCATGTGGTGTTGTGGTTTACATCTGCTCTATGATATCATGTGGTGTTGTGTTTTACATCTGCTCTATGATATCATGTGGTGTTGTGGTTTATGTCTGCTCTATGATATCATGTGGTGTTGTGGTTTACATCTGCTGTATGATATCATGTGGTGTTGTGGTTTACATCTGCTCTATGATATCATGTGGTGTTGTGGTTTACATCTGCTCTATGATATCTTGTGGTGTTGTGGTTTATGTCTGGTCTCTGATATCTTGTGGTGTTGTGGTTTATGTCTGCTCTCTGATATCTTGTGGTGTTGTGGTTTATGTCTGCCCTATGATATCATGTGGTGTTGTGGTTTACATCTGCTCTATGATATCTTGTGGTGTTGTGGTTTACCTCTGCTCTATGATATCATGTGGTGTTGTGGTTTACCTCTGCTCTATGATATCATGTGGTGTTGTGGTTTATGTCTGCTCTATGATATCATGTGGTGGGGGTTTACGTCTGCTCTGTGATATCATGTGGTGCTGTGGTTTATGGCTGCTCTATGATATCATGTGGCGTTGGGGTTTTTGTCTGCTCTGTGATATCATGCAGTGTTGTCGTTTACGTCTGCTAAATGGTATCTGCTACTTTCAGTCTAACACATTGGATTTCAGTAAATTTGTAATTAGTTGTTTTTTTACTATCTTATTTTAGCTTTGTATTTGTTAACAGCAGGCTTGTTTAGAGGCAGTGAGTCTATGTGAGGGTCCGTAACCCGCACATGCAGCAATCAACAAATGATAAATGAGTTTAACAAGGGATTAATGTTAAATTAAGAATCAACATCACAGCACTCAGGACATTCCCAAAAGCGCTCCATCCCCATCTTCAGCAGCCAGTGCAGAATTCCATTTCCAGTGGAATCAGTCTTGATTGTATATCCTTCTCACCTTTCCCTTGAGTGCGGATCCCCGACTAGATCCCATGATCCCCGACTAGATCCCATGATCCCCAACTAGATCCCATGATCCCCAACTAGATCCCATGATCCCCGACTAGATCCCATGATCCCCGACTAGATCCCATGATCCCCGACTAGATCCCATGATCCCCGACTAGATCCCATGATCCCCGACTAGATCCCATGATCCCCGACTAGATCCCATGATCCCCGACTAGATCCCATGATCCCCGACTAGATCCCATGATCCCCGACTAGATCCCATGATCCCCAACTAGATCCCATGATCCCCAACTAGATCCCATGATCCCCAAATAGATCCCATGATCCCCGACTAGATCCCATGATCCCACGACTAGATCCCATGATCCCCGACTAGATCCCCATGATCCACCGACTAGATCCCATGATCCCCGACTAGATCCCATGATCCCCGACTAGATCCCATGATCCCCGACTAGATCCCATGATCCCCGACTAGATCCCATGATCCCCGACTAGATCCCATGATCCCCGACTAGATCCCATGATCCCCGACTAGATCCCATGATCACTCCTTGCAGAAACCTTCTCTTCAGACCATGAGGATCCGTTTGTGCTTCTGCACTGTTCACTCACCCCCCCCCCCCCCCCCCCAAGGGCCCTTACAACATAATGCATCAGTTCACCATCCGATTGAACAGAACCAGCCAGTCTTTCTGCCTGTTCATTTCCTAATGCACCGGCATATGCTGGGGAAAATATCCAACGGATGCTAACTACCCTGGACCTCTGAAGTGATGCTTGCCTGTCTCCACCTCTCTCAGCATGCTCAGTGAGTCGGTTAAAATTACATGTTTGTGTCCAGCTGATTCTCAAGTCAGTGAAGTGCTGCAGTGACTACCTCCACCTTCATTCTCAAACTAGATGTGGCGTCATATGCCAGACTTTTTAGCACTAAGTGTCCATTAACTTTTGCTAAGAACCCCCATTAGCTTTGTCCACCTGTCAACACAGAGCCATCTGTTTAGATTATCACATCACCTGGGGAAGATTATAAAGGACTTAGTTGTTCTCGTATGCCCCACTGAAAGGCAGAAAAGTAGACTGACATGTGGTTTATAATTTTGTTTGTCTTTGATGGAGTTTGCTGTTCTCTTTGAGTGATTAGTTAAAACAAAGTGCACATCTTCAGTCTTGTATTTCCTGTCCTTGTTTGTCTTTGATGGAGTTTGCTGTTCTCTTTGAGTGATTAGTTGAAACCAAGTCCACATCTTCAGTCTTGTATTTCCTGTCCTTGTTTTGTTTCTACATAATTGTATTGTAAAAGGTGAATGTATTGTGTTTGAAACATCATTTTGTCTGTATTTTACATTTGTGCCTAATTATTGTTGTCTGCTTCAGATGGCGCTTTCGCAAAGGAACTGTGCTCCTCTGGTTGCTGTGCAATGCCGTCTGCATTTGGTTAACACAAGGTGAGTTTCCCTGGCATGTCTCATTTGGGCCAGGAAGAAATCTCATTTCATTAAATTCACTGTTAGAAACGTAAAGACACCGTGGCTTTCTGCCGGCTGAAGAATCAAGCCCACACATGGAAACAACTAACCAAGTATGGAAGGCAAAGATAGGCAGAATGGCATTTGTCCCTGTGGAAATTGTGGGTGTTGAGCATTCTTGAGATCTTTTCTCTAGGATATGCTTGTTGGTTGGGAAATAAACAAGCAGATTGCTGATTCTACACCTGTGTTTGGTAAATTGATGCATGGCAATGTAGAAAGTCCTTTGAAAACACATGAACAAAGTGGAAGAACAAACAAACTATCATCTGATGACTGATGTGAATAACACTTGGAGAAAGAAAGGTCAAGACAAACATGAAAGCACACTGCAGCTGCACCATTAGTAGTGTCACTCTGCGCTGGCTTCTGAAGATGGGGATGGTATGCTTATGGGAATGCTCCAAGTGTTGTGATGTCATTTATGACCTCACATCCAGTACTCTGAGATAGGCAAGCAAGCAAATATAGCCATTTGAAATGCCCCAGAAAAAGTGTTTTTTTTTTACCTATATTTCATTTTACAGCTACCCCAGAAAAAGTGTTTTTTTTTTTTTTTTACCTATCTTTCATTTTACAGCTTCCACAGAAAAAAGTGTTTTTTTTTACCTATCTTTCATTTGACAGCTGCCCCAGAAAAAGTGTTTTTTACCTATCTTTCATTTTACAGCTACCCCAGAAAAAGTGTTTTTTTTTTTACCTATCTTTCATTTTACAGCTTCCACAGAAAAAAGTGTTTTTTTTTACCTATCTTTCATTTGACAGCTGCCCCAGAAAAAGTGTTTTTTACCTATCTTTCATTTGACAGCTGCCCCAGAAAAAAGTGTTTTTTAACTATCTTTCATTTTCAGAATAGTTCAGTGTAGAATCAAAATTGAAAACCACAAAAGCAGAGATGCATGATGGGAACTGACCACCCTAGTTGATTTTGTGGGAGCCCAGACATGTTTAAGCCTAGTGTATGGCACCCTGGAGCCGGGCTGTTGAGCTCAGTGTGGGGCCAAATTGTTGAAAATTGTGGATTGTCATGGGCCAGACCCCCGAGCACTAACATACGAAGATGATTAATGCAGTACAATTGGCAGTGATCTGCAGACCACTTGCTAACCCTCTGAGGGTCACCAGTTGAATAGCTCTACCCTAGAGACTGTCCCTGCCGTGGTGCTAGTGATTGTACTGCAGCTTGAATGAAGCCAGTTTTAGTTTCTCTTGACTGTTGGTACATATAAGCATTTTTGTGTGAAATGTATTCTTTTATGTATCAGCCATTTATTTCTTTTTTTAAATGTTGGATACTGATTTTATTTTTTACTTCTGTATTTTTTTATCTCTTTAAATAAATCAATAAGCTGTAGTTACCTAATCAATCAGCTGTAGTTACCTAATCAATAAGCTGTAGTTACCTAATCAATAAGCTGTAGTTACCTAATCAATCAGCTGTAGTTACCTAATCAATCAGCTGTAGTTACCTAATCAATAAGCTGTAGTTACCAAATCAATAAGCTTTAGTTACCTAATCAATCAGCTGTAGTTACCTAATCAATCAGCTGTAGTTACCGGTGTGTTGTGTTTATTGCAGGTGCTGTGTTTGTACTTGCCTCCAGCTTAGTCATAGGAATTGCCACATTGTCATTGGTCCAGATTCACACACAAATACTGGACAAACTGCTGCCAAGCTACAAGAAGCCAACAAAACTTGGTGAAGAAGAAGATGGCAGAACTTCAGACACAGGCCAGAATTTCAAATACAGGTACAATATTTTGTATTTGACTAATTGTTTCATCTTGTCTTTTCTTGTTCATCTTCTGTTGGTTTTCTATGTTCTTACCTCTTCATCTATGGTTTCTTTCATTTCTTTACTATGATTTAATAAAAGTTTACAAGTTTTATTGCATTTAAATTTTACTGACGTAATGATGTTGTGACCTAATTTACTTGGCATAGTTTGCAGCATGGACAGCAGAAGAAACTGGCCGAAAGCTGTCAAAGAAGGCCTCATGGTGTGAAAGAATTTCCTTTTTTTTTCAGTTTGAACTGCCCAGGTTTACTGGATGTGTGAGAGCAAGTTAGTGGATCCGTTCACCTGGCAGGTGTCAGTAGCCGACTGACCAGCTTTGTCACATTGTTACAGAAGAAGAAGATCATGGACAAGTGAGATTTTTTGAAAACTATGAATGACAAAAAGAAAAGAAATATTGACATTCTAGACGACATCGAGAAGAATTGGCTCAATAATGGCATCTTGTCTCAGCAACTGAAATACTTTGTGACCATAACAAATGTCACAGTGGCTTGGGCATAATAGAAATGGAGGGCATGTACCAGGTGATGTCACAGTGGCTTGGACAAAATAGTAATGGATGGCATGTACCAGGTGATGTCACAGTGGCTTGGACACAATAGTAAATGAGGACATGTACCAGGTGAGAGAGGCAAAAACCAAGTCAACAGGAAGGTGGGTATTGACTGAGAGATGCTCTCTGAAATATTAAATTTCTGGTCATGGACAGAGACAGGAGCTAGCCAACAGGAAGATGGCTACTGACCTGAGAGACTCTCTCTGAAATAGTACATGTCTGGTCATAAACACTAATTGAAGTAACCTGTGTCCTGAATCACAGACAGTTGACTGAAGTAACCTGTGTCCTGAATCACAGACAGTTGACTAAAGTAACCTGTGTCCTGAATCACAGACAATTGACTGAAGTTTTCCTGTGTCCTGAATCACAGACAATTGACTGAAGTATTCCTGTGTCCTGAATCACAGACAATTGACTGAAGTATTCCTGTGTCCTGAATCACAGACAATTGACTGAAGTATTCCTGTGTCCTGAATCACAGACAATTGACTGAAGTATTCCTGTGTCCTGAATCACAGACAGTTGACTGAAGTATTCCTGTGTCCCGAATCACAGACAATTGACTGAAGTAACCTGTGTCCTCAATCACAGACAGTTGACTGAAGTATTCCTGTGTCCTGAATCACAGACAGTTGACTGAAGTATTCCTGTGTCCTGAATCACAGACAGTTGATTGAAGTATTCCTGTGTCCTGAATCACAGACAGTTGACTGAAGTATTCCTGTGTCCTGAATCACAGACAATTGACTGAAGTATTCCTGTGTCCTGAATCACAGACAGTTGACTGAAGTATTCCTGTGTCCTGAATCACAGACAGTTGACTGAAGTATTTCTGTGTCCTGAATCACACACAATTGACTGAAGTATTCCTGTGTCCTTAATCTCAGACAGTTGACTGAAGTATTCCTGTGTCCTGAATCACAGACAGTTGACTGAAGTATTCCTGTGTCCTGAATCACAGACAGGTGACTGAAGTATTCCTGTGTCCTGAATCACAGACAATTGACTAAAGTATTCCTGTGTCCTGAATCACAGACAGTTGACTGAAGTATTCCTGTGTCCTGAATCACAGACACAAGTATGACACAGACAGTTGAAAGTATTCCTGTGTCCTGAATCACAGACAGTTGACTGAAGTATTCCTGTGTCCTGAATCATAGACATTTGACTGAAGTATTCCTGTGTCCTGAATCACAGACAATTGACTGAAGTATTCCTGTGGCCTGAATCACAGACAATTGACTGAAGTATTCCTGTGTCCTGAATCACAGACAGTTGACTGAAGTATTCCTGTGTCCTGAATCACAGACAGTTGACTGAAGTATTCACACAGACAGTTGACTGAAGTATTCCTGTGTCCTGAATCACAGACAGTTGACTGAAGTATTCCTGTGTCCTGAATCACAGACAATTGACTGAAGTATTCCTGTGTCCTGAATCACAGACAGTTGACTGAAGTATTCCTGTGTCCTGAATCACAGACAGTTGACTGAAGTATTCCTGTGTCCTGAATCACAGACAATTGACTGAAGTATTCCTGTGTCCTGAATCACAGACAGTTGACTGAAGTATTCCTGTGTCCTGAATCACAGACAGTTGACTGAAGTATTCCTGTGTGTTGTGTCACTGAGAGCTTGATTGTCTCTCCCACAGCCTGATTGCCATGCATGACTTTGTGGTGAAAAGTAATGAGTATCTCAGCTACTTTTACTCCATACTGAAGTGGGATGCAGTTGGCCTATCAGCCATGTAAGATTTGTTTATTGTCTTTTTGTAACAGTTAGTAAATGTTGGCTTATTCTAGCTTATTCTTTGCATTTCCTCTTTGTCTTCCCCTTTCTTGTCTTTTTTGCTGTCTTGCTTTGTTAGTTTTTTGTTATTGCTGATGTTTGTTTATCTGGCATCTCTTTGCTTCCCCTCTTCCTACATAATTGTTGTTCTCAGTACTTTAATTCATTTACTGTATAGGAGCAGACACCAACCTGTCAGTCCTTCCACTCACTATCAAACGTAACCTTCTTCATTCCCTGTACACCAGACACCAACCTATCAGTCCTTCCACTCACTATCAAACGTAACCTTCATTCCCTGTACACCAGACACCAACCTATCAGTCCTTCCACTCACTATCAAACGTAACCTTCTTCATTCACTGTACACCAGACACCAACCTATCAGTCCTCCCACTCACCATCAAACGTAACCTTCATTCCCTGTACACCAGACACCAACCTATCAGTCCTTCCACTCACCATCAAACGTAACCTTCTTCATTCACTGTGCACCAGACACCAACCTATCAGTCCTCCCACTCACCATCAAACGTAACCTTCATTCCCTGTACACCAGACACCAACCTATCAGTCCTTCCACTCACCATCAAATGTAACCTTCTTCATTCACTGTACACCAGACACCAACCTATCAGTCCTCCCACTCACTATCAAACGTAACCTTCATTCCCTGTACACCAGACACCAACCTATCAGTCCTCCCACTCACTATCAAACGTAACCTTCTTCATTCACTGTACACCAGACACCAACCTATCAGTCCTTCCACTCACCATCAAACGTAACCTTCATTCCCTGTACACCAGACACCAACCTATCAGTCCTTCCACTCACCATCAAACGTAACCTTCTTCATTCACTGTGCACCAGACACCAACCTATCAGTCCTCCCACTCACCATCAAACGTAACCTTCATTCCCTGTACACCAGACACCAACCTATCAGTCCTTCCACTCATCATCAAATGTAACCTTCTTCATTCACTGTACACCAGACACCAACCTATCAGTCCTCCCACTCACTATCAAACGTAACCTTCATTCCCTGTACACCAGACACCAACCTATCAGTCCTCCCACTCACCATCAAACGTAACCTTCATTCCCTGTACACCAGACACCAACCTATCAGTCCTTCCACTCACTATCAAACGTAACCTTCTTCATTCCCTGTACACCAGACACCAACCTATCAGTCCTTCCACTCACTATCAAACGTAATCTTCATTCCCTGTACACCAGACACCAACCTATCAGTCCTTCCACTCACCATCAAACGTAACCTTCATTCCCTGTACACCAGACACCAACCTATCAGTCCTTCCACTCACTATCAAACGTAACCTTCATTCCCTGTACACCAGACACCAACCTATCAGTCCTTCCACTCACCATCAAACGTAACCTTCTTCATTCCCTGTATAGGAGCAGACACCAACCTATCAGTCCTTCCACTCACCATCAAACGTAACCTTCTTCATTCCCTGTATAGGAGCAGACACCAACCTATCAGTCCTTCCACTCACCATCAAACGTAACCTTCTTCATTCCCTGTATAGGAGCAGACACCAACCTATCAGTCCTTCCACTCACCATCAAATGTAACCTTCTTCATTCACTGTACACCAGACACCAACCTATCAGTCCTCCCACTCACTATCAAACGTAACCTTCATTCCCTGTACACCAGACACCAACCTATCAGTCCTCCCACTCACCATCAAACGTAACCTTCATTCCCTGTACACCAGACACCAACCTATCAGTCCTTCCACTCACTATCAAACGTAACCTTCTTCATTCCCTGTACACCAGACACCAACCTATCAGTCCTTCCACTCACTATCAAACGTAATCTTCATTCTCTGTACACCAGACACCAACCTATCAGTCCTTCCACTCACCATCAAACGTAACCTTCATTCCCTGTACACCAGACACCAACCTATCAGTCCTTCCACTCACTATCAAACGTAACCTTCATTCCCTGTACACCAGACACCAACCTATCAGTCCTTCCACTCACCATCAAACGTAACCTTCATCATTCCCTGTACACCAGACACCAACCTATCAGTCCTTCTACTCACCATCAAACGTAACCTTCATCATTCCCTGTACACCAGACACCAACCTATCAGTCCTTCCACTCACCATCAAACGTAACCTTCATCATTCCCTGTACACCAGACACCAACCTATCAGTCCTTCCACTCACCATCAAATGTAATCTTCTTCATTCACTGTACACCAGACACCAACCTATCAGTCCTTCCACTCACTATCAAACGTAACCTTCATCATTCCCTGTACACCAGACACCAACCTATCAGTCCTTCCACTCACCATCAAACGTAACCTTCATTCCCTGTACACCAGACACCAACCTATCAGTCCTCCCACTCACCATCAAACGTAACCTTCATTCACTGTACACCAGACACCAACCTATCAGTCCTTCCACTCACCATCAAATGTAACCTTCTTCAATTACTGTATAGGAGCAGACACCAAACTGCCAAAAAATGTTTATTGTGTTACATAAAAGCTTGTGTGTTCAAGCTTTGAAGATATATTTACCTCTGTTGTGTAGAGAAGTTTTTAACTCTTTACGGATTCGCCGCCACTTTAGTGGCTTTTGAATCCATCATATTCAGACTGTCCACCACTAAAATGGCTCTTCATAGACACACTCTAATATTGCTTTGTTTGCTGGAAAAATGAATTTGTATGAACGTGTGTTGAAAAACTAGAATTAGCAAAATGAAATATGCTCGTTTTTTTAGTTTGGCATCATGTTTGGGTCTCTTTCTGTTTTGTTTTGAATTAATTAGATGTGATATAATTGTTATGTGATTTTTCCAGACCAAATGAAAGGGGAGAAGGTCCAGAAGTGTTCATACTACTCTGTCATTGATGAGTTTTGGCCAGATAGTGACAATAGTCTATATATTTTGATTGCATGTGCCAGATCTATTGCCGATAATATAGGTTAGAAGGAAATGGAACAAAATATTCCATTAGCTGTGCCAGGAATTTAATTATAGTGAAATTTGACATGCCATACGAACTTCATCATAAAATCCAAAGTATTTAAACTAAATGTTTCAAAAAAGACTAGCTGATGCATAATTGAACAGAGGAGCCAATGTGAATTCTTAGATAGCAGTGTTTTAAACAAGTTTTTAAAAAAAAGTTAAGCGCAACAGTTTATATGTAAATAATCTTCATATGCGTCTAACATCCTTGAATTTTATGGAGTTTTAATAATTTTGTTGCTGTAGTACTGATATTTAGATAGTTTAGATTTATTCTGCATTTATTTCTCTTTAATTTGATATGTTATATGTCCTTATACAGCCATTACTTTTTCTTCAGGAAGGTTTTAGCTTTGTCATGTTGCAGTAAAAAACTTGGGCTCAAAATTAATGCTGTCCATACCTGACAAAAGATGATGTCCTGAAAGAGTTAATGTATAGAACATTATGTCAGTGTTTCCACAGTCTTGCCACCGTAATGATCTCGGTGCTAACATGTTATGTTGCAGCTACCACATTGAAGCTTGTGTCTTCTTGCTCAGCATTGTCATGTGTCCTGCCAGGTGGAACTGCTTCTTGTTAGTCAACTGGTTCTTCTTTTGTCACCCACACATCATCAGAAGTGAGTTGAAAACAAGTCACCAATCTCACACCATTATTATATTAGTGTCACCCACACATCATCAGAAGTGAGTTGAAAACAAGTCACCAATCTCACACCATTATTATATTAGTTTCACCCACACATCATCAGAAGTGAGTTGAAAACAAGTCACCAATCTCACACCATTATTATATTAGTTTCACCCACACATCATCAGAAGTGAGTTGAAAACAAGTCACCAATCTCACACCATTATTATATTAGTTTCACCCACACATCATCAGAAGTGAGTTGAAAACATGTCGCCAATCTCACACCATTATTATATTAGTTTCACCCACACATCATCAGAAGTCAGTTGAAAACATGTCGCCAATCTCACACCATTATTATATTAGACCTTCATCAATTAAAAAAATAAAAAAGACCTTAAAAAAGATTTCTTGTATTTGTGTTAAAAGAAATTCCTGCCATTTCATTCACATGCCTACAGTGATCAGGGGTGATAATAAATAACTCCCCCCAACATAAGAGTTATTGTGTATTTGGTTCTAGCTCTATATTTTAGACCAGATGGCACTTTGTGGGCTTTACGCCTAATGGCTCGGGGGGTGTTTTACGAGACGGCACTCGATGTGGGGTGCACCAAAGGCACTTGGTGAGTTTTGAAATGAATGGTTCTTGTTGTGGACGGACATCTTCTTAAAACTGTTGACAACTTTATTTTAGGCTGGGTTTGCAGAAAACTGGTCAGTGAAAAGAAAATGTCCTGCTTCGTATGGGATTTGAACCCATGAACACCGGGCAGACTGGCAGACATTCTAGTCACTGTACTGCTTCAGAGACAATATAGAATAAATCGGGCTGCTACATGTAGAAACTAGGGTTGATAAGTCACCACAACTTTTTCGTTGCTGTCACTTGAGGCAGGAGTTGCTGTCATCGTGGTTCAGGATAATGTAGATGCATTTCGTGTCAGCACACTACCAGAACAGTTAGAGTCTTACATTGGATGTCTGCTGAAAGAGACTGAGCACACAGCTTGTGCCCTGAGTGTAGTTAATCAAGCAGCCTGTGGTGGACTTGCACTCTCTTATAATGTCTGCAGGTTGAGGAAACAGAGACGTTGTCTATGAACAAGCTACAGTCGAATCTATATCTGCACAACACAGCTGTGTATCCCAGGTTTGTCTCCAAGAATTAGCTGGAGTTTGTTGACAGCTAGGTACCTCAGTGCTCATGCATTGGATTTAAGAGTTAAAACGTCTTCTGAAAGATTCACCTTTCAGCTGTCTGACAAAACAGCTTTCCTGAGTTGGATGAAACAAAGCTGAGAAAAAAAATGAGAAACAGATGTATTGTATGTCTGATGTTTTGATGGAGCTTAAATGTTTTTGATACAGTCCTGTCCTGTATGTCCCTGTTTTGATGTTTTTGATAACGTTTTTCATATTTCCCAGAAGGCTGTAGGCAGTTCAAGGATTACTGGTCCAAAGTGAAACAGCCAGCAGCGCAGGTAAGGGCAACAGTGGTTCACACAGCTCAATGTGTTTGCTAGATTACTTTGCACATGGTCAGGTTTATACAAGCCTGAGACTTTGCACATCGTCAGGTTTATACAAGCCTGAGACTTTGCACATCGTCAGGTTTATACAAGCCTGAGACTTTGCACATCGTCAGGTTTATACAAGCTTGAGACTTTGCACATGGTCAGGTTTATACAAGCCTGAGACTTTGCACATGGTCAGGTTTATACAAGCTTGAGACTTTGCACATGGTCAGGTTTATACAAGCCTGAGACTTTGCACATGGTCAGGTTTATACAAGCCTGAGACTTTGCACATGGTCAGGTTTATACAAGCCTGAGACTTTGCACATGGTCAGGTTTATACAAGCTTGAGACTTTGCACATCGTCAGGTTTATACAAGCTTGAGACTTTGCACATGGTCAGGTTTATACAAGCTTGAGACTTTGCACATGGTCAGGTTTATACAAGCTTGAGACTTTGCACACGGTCAGGTTTATACAAGCTTGAGACTTTGCACATGGTCAGGTTTAAACAAGCCTGAGACTTTGCACATCGTCAGGTTTATACAAGCTTGAGACTTTGCACATCGTCAGGTTTAAACAAGCTTGAGACTTTGCACATGGTCAGGTTTATACAAGCCTGAGATTTCATTCTCCCATGAGGTGTCCAAGTTGCCTACATGTGGCCTGTTTAAATCATCAGTCAATCAGGAGCCATCTTTACACTGAAAGTTGGCTGTAGTGGATCTCTAACACTGTCCAACACAAATGTATCCCAGCATAGTTTGCTGACCTTTGAGATTGGACATTTGGGTTCACAATTGGGTGTCAGTTCACTGGAGCAGTGAAGGAAGAAGAAGACCAGGAAAGTAAGATAGTTAGCTTGGGATCACAGTTAAAGAGGTATAACAGACAAAACTTTTCTTTGCCTCAACAGTGTGGGATAGAAGGGGAGAGATTGAGAATGATATAGAAAGTGGCGGGACTGGAAACCATATTGTAACTCCTTGAACTAATAATTGATTAGCTAATGAAAAAAAAACAGCTACTAGAGAGAGAGAGAGAAGGGGTGAGTGCCTGCGACTAAGCTCAGTGAATGAGGCTCTGTAGGTGACCTTGTCCTGTTATCCCAAATCCTACATGAGATTCAGGGTCAGTTGAGAGCACTTGATGAGAGGACATAACAGTTGAGAGCACTTGATGAGAGGACATGACAGTTGAGAGCACTTGATGAGAGGACATGACATAACAGTTGAGAGCACTTGATGAGAGAGACATGGTCAGTTGAGAGCACTTGATGAGAGGACATAACAGTTGAGAGCACTTGATGAGAGGACATGACAGTTGAGAGCACTTGATGAGAGGACATGACATAACAGTTGAGAGCACTTGATGAGAGGACATGACAGTTGAGAGCACTTGATGAGAGGACATAACAGTTGAGAGCACTTGATGAGAGGACATAACAGTTGAGAGCACTTGATGAGAGGACATAACAGTTGAGAGCACTTGATGAGAGGATATAACAGTTGAGAGCACTTGATGAGAGGACATAACAGTTGAGAGCACTTGATGAGAGGACATAACAGTTGGTTGGTACATATTCAAGAGAAAATTAGAGATAATGAAAACAAACAAAACAAATGGCTTGCATGTGTAGGAAAATGTGACCTGTTTAACCAGAGAGCAGTCACACAATACATGTTCTTGTGACCTAGTGTGTGACACAGATTGTGTTGTGATGGAACGTTTCAACTGATAGCTTGTGTAAACAAAAAGTAAACATTTCGTTACCTTTCAGGGTTTATCCTGTGTTTAGTTTGCTCAAGAGAGTTTTGTCTCATCTTCTTTTGCAGAAAGAACAAATTTCAGAAAATAAAAATGAGAAAGATGAAGACAACTGTGAAGATTGCTGTCATGATGACAATGACAGTTCGGATGTAAGGAAAACATTTGTTGCCCCAGCTGTCATTTGTCTGACATGTAAATGTTGCCACGAGTGTCATTTGTCTGATGTGTAGATGTTGCCTCTGGTGTCCTTTGTCTAATGTTTAATGTTGCCTCTAATGTCATTTGTCTGGTGTGTAGATGTTGCCTCTGGTGTCATGTTTCTGTTGTGTAAGTGTTGCCTCTTGTGTCATTTGGTTGTTGTGAAACTGTTACCTCCAGTGTTCTTTATCTATTGTATCACTGTTGTCTCCAATGTCTTTTGTCTGTTGTATCACTGCTGCCCCTGGTGTCCCTTGTCTGTTTTGTAATTGTTCCTCTGGTGTCTTTTCTCTGTTGTATAATTGTTTCTGTTGTATCATTTTTTTCTCTTGTGTCATTTGTCTATTGCATAATTGTTTCCCCTAGTGTCATTTGTGTATTGTGTAACTTTTGCCTCTGGCATTATTTATGTGTTGTTCAATTTTTGCTTGTTGTGTCATTTGTCTGTTAGTGACACAGTGATTTTGGTTGCAGACGTGAGGGAAAGTCAAGGCCATTGTGATGTGTATAAAGAGTTACTCTGTACCTCACACCAATTGGTTCTCTGCTAGTTTTACCGATCCTCATGCAACTTGCTTGCCACACTTCCCTGTCATGCACCATCGATAATGGCTCATCCGAGCATAAACAGAGCTGGCAGGGGATCTTGGAGTTGGTGGCCCCCAGCGATTCAGTACCCAGAAATCCTCTGCCTCTCATACGCCCACCCTCCATGCATGGCTGATAACGGCGGCCGAATATCCTACTATGTAAAAAAAAATCTTGGTTTAATTATCTGTCGAATTCCTGATGATTAGGCTCAAATGTCCACCAGTCAGGTGTTGGAATGTCATATTCAGCAGATCAGCCGCCTCACTGTGAACTGAGACCAAGGAATGTGTTTGGAGCTTAGATAAGCAACATCTCCTGTGGGTGGTGTTTCATGCGTCTGTTCTATGGCATAATAAGATTTAGATGTCCAACCATTGAATTTCTTTCTGTGTGAGAGACAAGATTCTGAATTCTGACCATTAAATGTCTCACTGTGGGACAGATGTCTGTGCGACCCTTGACCTCCCCCCCCCCCCCCCCTCTCCCACCCCCCCTTGTTGGAGTGTCGGGACCAGACAGAGAAGCCATAGCTGATGCATCCTTTTCCTAAACTGTCATGCTAGAACAACCTTAAAGATGTCTAATGTGCATTTGTGTAGTTGTCAAAGTCCCGGACCTGCAGGTTGTTTGTGTTAACAGTTGTTGTTGTCATGTGATTGTACTTTTGATACAGTTGTTTTTTGAGGTACAGTTATTGTTTGTGGTGTCATTGTTACATGTGGTACAGTTGTTCTTTGAGGTACAGTTATTGTTTGTGGTGTCATTGTTACATGTGGTACAGTTGTTTTGTGTACGGTACATTTCTTGTTGTTACCTGTTTGATAGTCTTTGTTTGTGATGTAATTATCAGCTAGGAAATAGAGAAGGTCGCAAAGAGCCACGTCGAGAGAATAATTCACCGGTTGTAAGAGGAATGTTGTTTGGCAGTGGCAGCAGCAGCTCTCTCATTGAATACTTTCCTTTATGTTACTGAGATGTCTTGTTGCAGCATTAATCAAGCTTCATGTTACTGCTGTTTTCAGGTGCCATTTATTTTATTTAGATGTCATGTTACTTTGTTCATTTTACTGTGTTACTGCATTGTTCACTCATTATGTTACTGTAATGTTCAAATGTCATGTTACTTTGTTGTTCATTTTACTGTGTTACTGCATTGTTCACTCATTATGTTACTGTGATGTTCAGATGTCATGGTACTTTGTTGTTCATTTTACAGTGTTACTGCATTGTTCACTCATTATATTACTGTAATGTTCAAATGTCATGTTACTTTGTTGTTCAGATGACTGTGTTACTGCATTGTTCACTCATGTTACTGTGATGTTCAGATATCATGATATTTTGTTGTTCATTTTACTGTGTTACTGCATTGTTCACTCATTATGTTACTGTGATGTTAAGATGTCATGTTACTTTGTTCATTTTACTGTGTTACTGCATTGTTCACTCATTATGTTACTGTAATGTTCAAATGTCATGTTACTTTGTTGTTCATTTTACTGTGTTACTGCATTGTTCACTCATTATGCTACTGTGATATTCAGATGTCATGTTACTTTGTTCATTTTACTGTGTTACTGCATTGTTCACTCATTATGTTACTGTAATGTTCAAATGTCATGTTACTTTGTTGTTCATTTTACAGTGTTACTGCATTGTTCACTCATGTTACTGTGATGTTCAGATGTCATGGTACTTTGTTGTTCATTTTACAGTGTTACTGCATTGTTCACTCATTATGTTACTGTGATGTTCAGATATGTTAATTGTTTGTTCAGATATCACAGATATAGCAAGTCACCTTATTTGTTACAGACTGAAGACTTATTCCAGGGTTGTAAATTCTGGTGAAAAGTTCTGGTTGTTTGGCCACTTCTAAACTGTAGTCCTATTTGTGTGCAGATTGTTGGTTGCTAGCCTCTCAGGCAGATGCACTCTGACTTCAAAGGAAGCTCACAATTAATCAACTCCTATGACATGCTTGTAGGGTAGGCAGTGGATCTATTCTTGTTGTCCCTCTAACAAGGCCCCGGAACCCACGCAGGAAGAAACAGGATAACAAGTTACTAATTGTTCCTTATTTTTTATTTTAAAATTCAGCTGGATATGACAGATAAAGTAGCAGATGCCTCCATGATCAGCCTTGACCCTTCACCTAGTAAACCTGGTATGGTGGCCAGATTTATGGAAATCAAGAAGCGAAGAAAGCAAATTTCCAGTGGTATGTTTGTTTAAGTCTCTGTCCCATTATTCAGATTATCACGAAATATGTGTTCTGACATTGTGGTGGTGGTATAAGTAAATGTGCATCTAATGTTGCATTTAACTCTTCTTCTTTCTAACCATTAAAGCATTTGATGCCCACCTAACACAGCATTTCACTTGCATGTCACCAGTATACATGTTTCTCTTGGTTTAGATTTGTTGCTTTCAGTTCACATTCAAAACAAAGCCAGCACTGCTTTTTTTCACTTTTAAAAACAACGACCAAATTTGGCTTAACAGTTTCCCGAAAACTACACTTTAAAAATAATTTTATTATAAATTGGTTGTAGAGTGATTGGTCAGATTATTGATATATGAAAGCACAAATAAGTGCACATCATTGAAAGTGGCAAATGCTTGTACCCAGAGTTTCTGGCGGCCATTTCATAGGGTAAATGTTTGTGTTTTAAATATAATATTTGGAGTAGAAATGTGTTTAGTTTTTGAGCAGCCATCTCTTCAGTTTCTTTGGTTTTTTTTTAGTTTAAATTTTACCATTATTATTTTATTTTTAAGCTGTTAAGCCGTGTGTGGTGGCCACGTAAGAGTTCTGAAAATTAGCATTAAAAAATTCATTTGTATGAAATAGATTAGAATTCACACCAGATAAATTCAGTAGACACATTGACAGTGTCATTCGCCCGTAAAGATGGTGTCATAGTAAATGCAACTGTTATAGCATGAAATGTTAGGCCTAAACATATTCTAAGCAACAACAGCGGTGGGAGGGTCCATTCCTTTACTCAATGTCTTTGTGTCTTAGACAGGTTCTCACACACTTCTCTCAGTCGTCTGCTGCCTATTTCTTTTGGGACATTGACGACATAGCCAAAATTGTTTTAAACGTGTAACTTTCCATACAGAGGGAATTGAATTTAGACAAGTATCCTGGCAGAAAAGCAAAATTGTTGAAACAGGTAACTGTGTGTGCAGAGGATTGAGCTGGGACCAATAACTTGGCAGGCAGGCACACTAAACAGCTTGGCTTCCATGGCTCATGTCCACAAACAACATCCCCCAAAAATGGTCTCAGCAAGAGAACACCTGGTCAGCAGGGGCATGCCACAGGACAGATATCTCCAGCTGCCCACAACGCAAGAGAACACCTGGTCAGCAGGGGCATGCCACCGGACAGATATCTCCAGCTGCCCACAACAGGGTGCAGTAGATGACACAGCTATATGCAGACAGTTTCCAATAAGAATGTGCACATGGGCTTGAATGCCCCATACAGCAACATCTAGACTCCAACACTGCCCTGAATGTGACGCATCCCAGCAAACCATGTGGCCAACAAAAAAAGCAGTGGAAATTAAACTTTGTGGACCATCCGCTGAACTTAAAAGAGGCATTAAAATTTATACAAAAGACATAAACAGTCTGTTTCAAATGAGTGAAGGAAGAACTTTCAACATGTGAAACATCATTATCTGAAGCACCAACTCTTTCACTGTCAGTCTCCATGGTGTAATATTTCACCATTACATAAATAACCCACTGTACAGTGATATAGGCAGTCTGTGTGAACTCATTACATGGTTATGTCTGTGTGGACTCATTACATGGTTATGTCTGTGTGAACTCATTACATGGTTATGTCTGTGTGGACTCATTACATGGTTATGTCTGTGTGGACTCATTACATGGTTATGTCTGTGTGGACTCATTACATGGTTATGTCTGTGTGGACTCATTACATGGTTATGTCTGTGTGGACTCATTACATGGTTATGTCTGTGTGGACTCATTACATGGTTATGTCTGTGTGGACTCTTTACATGGTTATGTCTGTGTGGACTCATTACATGGTTATGTCTGTGTGAACTCATTACATGATTGTGTCTGTGTGGACTCATTACATAGTTATGTCTGTGTTAACTAATATTTGGTTGTCTTCAGTTCAACCTTTTGGAAACTTCTCTGATGTTTTCATCTTTTAGCAATTTTTTTTTTTCAACATTTTTGTTGTAATCACATTTTGATTTGCTTTTCTGCTTGTAGTATTTGATGTTATATAAAGTGGTATAGACGCTCTGTCTGCAATGCCACCAGCCTCGGGTTCAAATGTACATTAAGCTAGAAAATTGTTTTCTATTTTGTGTTAATGGTGTTGACTGTCAGGTGGAGCCAGCCTAAAATGGGTATCAGGTAAAGTCCTGGTAAGTCAAGGTGGCAGGGCCCAATGTTGAACACTTTAGCCATCGAGGCCCAATGTTGACCAGGTCAGCCATCAAGGGCCAGTGTTGACCAGGTCAGCTATCAAGGGCCAGTGTTGACCAGGTCAGCTATCAAGGGCCAGTGTTGACCAGGTCAGCCATCAAGGGCCAGTGTTGACCAGGTCAGCTATCAAGGGCCAGTGTTGACCAGGTCAGCTATCAATGACCAATGGTGACCACCTTAGCCATCAAGGGCCAGTGTTGACCAGGTCAGCCATCAAGGGCCAGTGTTGACCAGGTCAGCCATCAAGGGCCAGTGTTGACCAGGTCAGCTATCAAGGGCCAGTGTTGACCAGGTCAGCCATCAAGGGCCAGTGTTGACCAGGTCAGCCATCAAGGGCCAGTGTTGACCAGGTCAGCCATCAAGGGCCAGTGTTGACCAGGTCAGCTATCAATGACCAATGGTGACCACCTTAGCCATCAAGGGCCAGTGTTGACCAGGTCAGCTATCAATGACCAATGGTGACCACCTTAGCCATCAAGGGCCAGTGTTGACCAGGTCAGCCATCAAGGGCCAGTGTTGACCAGGTCAGCCATCAAGGGCCAGTGTTGACCAGGTCAGCCATCAAGGGCCAGTGTTGACCAGGTCAGCCATCAAGGGCCAGTGTTGACCAGGTCAGCTATCAAGGGCCAGTGTTGACCAGGTCAGCTATCAATGACCAATGGTGACCACCTTAGCCATCAAGGGCCAGTGTTGACCAGGTCAGCCATCAAGGGCCAGTGTTGACCAGGTCAGCTATCAATGACCAATGGTGACCACCTTAGCCATCAAGGGCCAGTGTTGACCAGGTCAGCTATCAATGACCAATGGTGACCACCTTAGCCATCAAGGGCCAGTGTTGACCAGGTCAGCCATCAAGGGCCAGTGTTGACCAGGTCAGCCATCAAGGGCCAGTGTTGACCAGGTCAGCTATCAAGGGCCAGTGTTGACCAGGTCAGCTATCAAGGGCCAGTGTTGACCAGGTCAGCTATCAATGACCAATGGTGACCACCTTAGCCATCAAGGGCCAGTGTTGACCAGGTCAGCTATCAATGACCAATGGTGACCACCTTAGCCATCAAGGGCCAGTGTGTTGACCAGGTCAGCCATCAAGGGCCAGTGTTGACCAGGTCAGCCATCAAGGGCCAGTGTTGACCAGGTCAGCTATCAAGGGCCAGTGTTGACCAGGTCAGCTATCAAGGGCCAGTGTTGACCAGGTCAGCTATCAATGACCAATGGTGACCACCTTAGCCATCAAGGGCCAGTGTTGACCAGGTCAGCCATCAAGGGCCAGTGTTGACCAGGTCAGCTATCAAGGGCCAGTGTTGACCAGGTCAGCTATCAATGACCAATGGTGACCACCTTAGCCATCAAGGGCCAGTGTTGACCAGGTCAGCCATCAAGGGCCAGTGTTGACCAGGTCAGCTATCAAGGGCCAGTGTTGACCAGGTCAGCTATCAATGATCAATGGTGACCACCTTAGCCACTAAGGGCCAGTGTTGACCAGGTCAGCTATCAAGGGCCAGTGTTGACCAGGTCAGCCATCAAAAGCCGCTTGTTCTATACAAGTCTACCCTGGTCTGCTTGATGCAGTACTGGTGTGTAGTGGGTCCTTGACCTTGACTGACCAGACAGACCTTGGAAACAATGGTCAAATAATAGATGTTTCATTGTTTAGCCAGGACTTCTCATGGCTTCGGTATTGTAATCATCATCATCATCACATGCCAGTTCCACATTGGAGATAGACAGTTATACTGCTCCCAGAATCCTTAGTCCAGGGTATTCATGCTGCATTCTTGCAGGCTTCTCCCAGTCCCCCTCTTGATGTTCTTAATGCCTACATTTTGCACATACCTCCTCCATTGCATCATTTTCCATGGCACTTTTTCTCATTCTGTTACTGAATTATTTATTCTTCGACCTTTTTCTCACTCAATAATTGCAGGTTTCTTGATCACACTTTGTTGTTTTGTCCTGCCATGATATTCTCTTTATTTGATCACACTTTGTTGTTTTGTCCTGCCATGATATTCTCTTTATTTATTTTATCACACTTTGTTGTTTTGTCCTGCCATGATATTCTCTTTATTTGATCACACTTTGTTGTTTTGTCCTGCCATGATATTCTCTTTATTTATTTGATCACACTTTGTTGTTTTGTCCTGCCATGATATTCTCTTTATTTATTTTATCACACTTTGTTGTTTTGTCCTGCCATGATATTCTCTTTATTTGATCACACTTTGTTGTTTTGTCCTGCCATGATATTCTCTTTATTTGATCACACTTTGTTGTTTTGTCCTGCCATGATATTCTCTTTATTTATTTTATCACACTTTGTTGTTTTGTCCTGCCATGATATTCTCTTTATTTGATCACACTTTGTTGTTTTGTCCTGCCATGATATTCTCTTTATTGATTTGATCACACTTTGTTGTTTTGTCCTGCCATGATATTCTCTTTATTTATTTGATCACACTTTGTTGTTTTGTCCTGCCATGATATTCTCTTTATTTGATCACACTTTGTTGTTTTGTCCTGCCATGATATTCTCTTTATTTGATCACACTTTGTTGTTTTGTCCTGCCATGATATTCTCTTTATTTATTTTATCACACTTTGTTGTTTTGTCCTGCCATGATATTCTCTTTATTTGATCACACTTTGTTGTTTTGTCCTGCCATGATATTCTCTTTATTTGATCACACTTTGTTGTTTTGTCCTGCCATGATATTCTCTTTATTTGATCACACTTTGTTGTTTTGTCCTGCCATGATATTCTCTTTATTGATTTGATCACACTTTGTTGTTTTGTCCTGCCATGATATTCTCTTTATTTATTTGATCACACTTTGTTGTTTTGTCCTGCCATGATATTCTCTTTATTTGATCACACTTTGTTGTTTTGTCCTGCCATGATATTCTCTTTATTTGATCACACTTTGTTGTTTTGTCCTGCCATGATATTCTCTTTATTTATTTTATCACACTTTGAAAGCTAAAAGAAATTTTTTTTTCACATGCGACATTTGTACCTACAAAATAAATGTGTGGTTGTTCTCAACAACACAGAAAATCTGGTATCTAAGCTATAGAGCAATAAGTCTAAACATTATGCATGTACAGACAAGTTAATCGACCAATGACAAAGATTGTTGCATGTTAGAATCCAGCTAATCACAGATTTTCTTGTATTTCGAATTATAATCCACTAATCATGGCTTGTCTTGCATCGTGTGCATTCACCGTAGAATTTTACTAACTTTATTGTTCAAATCAGATTGTCCGTGGTTGATGCAGATACAGTCCAGCTGTTGGTCCTTTGTATGAGCCTTGTTGACCAGGTGGCAAGTGTGCTGATTGGCAATGATAGGAATCTTCACTCTGTCCCTGGGTTAACACGGGAGGTGTATTCTAATCACATACAGCTTAATTATCAGATCAGCTTAATAAAATGTTGGCTGATAGTTCTGACAGTCTGTGGGAGGCTGATAGTTTTGACAGTCTGTGGGAGGCTGATAGTTTTGACAGTCTGTGGGAGGCTGATAGTTTTGACAGTCTGTGGGAGGCTGATAGTTTTGACAGTCTGTGGGAGGCTGCTCATTCTTGCCATGTTGGCTGATAGTTTTGACAGTCTGTGGGAGGCTGATAGTTCTGACAGTCTGTGGGAGGCTGCTCATTCTTGCCATGTTGGCTGATAGTTTTGACAGTCTGTGGGAGGCTGCTCATTCTTGCCATGTTGGCTGATAGTTTTGACAGTCTGTGGGAGGCTGATAGTTTTGACAGTCTGTGGGAGGCTGATAGTTCTGACAGTCTGTGGGAGGCTGATAGTTTTGACAGTCTGTGGGAGGCTGATAGTTTTGACAGTCTGTGGGAGGCTGATAGTTTTGACAGTCTGTGGGAGGCTGATAGTTTTGACAGTCTGTGGGAGGCTGATAGTTTTGACAGTCTGTGGGAGGCTGATAGTTTTGACAGTCTGTGGGAGGCTGATAGTTTTGACAGTCTGTGGGAGGCTGATAGTTCTGACAGTCTGTGGGAGGCTGCTCATTCTTGTCATGTTAGTAGTGAATTAACTCTTTCAGTTTAAAAACTTCACAACAGTTGCTCAAGGAGAGAAATAACCCCTGTGTAAAATTATGTGTATAAAGCTTTCAAAGTGGCAACTGGCAATGCCAGATTTCTTTAGTATTCTGTGGCTAATACAGAAAGTAACACAATATATTGTGTAAGATTGGGTTTCTGAGAACAAGTTTGTCGCACATGATTCACTGCTTGGAGCCAAAGAAAGCTAAAAAGTCTCAACTTCTGTTAAGTTAATGATACAAGTAACTTTTTCAAAGTTAATAATGTACTTACAGTGCCTAGAAGTTCTTAAAACATTTTTTTAACAGGGATTTGTAGGTAATAGTGATTACTGTTTTTCCCCCAAGAGTAAGACAGTCCTATGTGTAAGACTTAATCCATGTTTCTTCACAATATCTGCTAGTGTCAGATTGTCCCCAGAAGACTTCACTTATGTTTCTTTACAATATCTGCTAGTGTCAGATTGTCCCCAGAAGACTTTACTTATGTTTCTTTACAATATCTGCTGGTGTTAGATTGTCCCCAGAAGGCTTCCCTTATGTTTGTTCAAAATATCTGCTGGTGTTAGATTGTCCTCAGTAGGCTTCACCCATGTTTCTTCACACTACCTGATGGTGTCAAATTGTCCCCAGAAGACTTCACCCATGTTTCTTCACACTACCTGATGGTGTCAAATTGTCCCCAGAAGACTTCACCCATGTTTCTTCACAATATCTGATGGTGTTAGATTGTCCCCAGAAGACTTCACCCATGTTTCTTCACAATATCTGCTAGTGTCAGATTGTCCCCAGAAGACTTCACCCATGTTTCTTCACAATATCTGCTAGTGTCAGATACTCCCCAGAAGGCTTCACTTATGTTTCTTCACAATATCTGCTGGTGTCAAATTGTCCCCAGAAGACTTCACCCATGTTTCTTCACACTACCTGCTGGTGTCAAATTGTCCCCAGAAGACTTCACCCATGTTTCTTCACACTACTTGATAGTGTTAAATTGTCCCCAGAAGAATTTTTTTATTGGTTCTATTTATCATTTTGGCAAACTGGATCACTTTTAACTTGAGTTCAGCACTGTACTAAATTCTTTGTTGGCAAAACATAACCTCATTTTAAAAGTGTGCAAAGTTAGGTAGAAGACAGGTGCAACAATTATTTACAGCCGGAAAGAACTTGTATAATTGTTTTCCATTTTATGTTGCTCATGAACCAGCATTCCCAACTGAGGCCCTGAACGGGATATTTTCCAACAAATCATTTTGTAATAATCTGCTACCGTTAAATAAGAACAACACTATTATTAAACTGTATATTTTTGGAATATAAGTGCGTCTTCTACTTAGGAAAATACAGTCCCTGCTCAGTGTTCTCTGACTCTATCAGACCTGACAGCTCACTGGGCGGGGAGGCTCATCAGATTTTCACATGGAGTAAGATCCTGGTAACTCGCTGGCCAGTCATGTAGAGATATTTATTGTCTGCCCAAAGACCACATCAGCCATTTTTTTTTTACTTGTTACTTGTGTCTGGTCTGACTAGCCCTCGACACAACAGAGACAGTATAAATATTTTGGCAAAATCTGGATCTGTATGTGACAGATTTGTATTTATCCAGTGCTTGTCATTCTATACACCTTGTTGATCTGTCTTGAATAGAGTAAACAGTATGTTAACCTAATTATAATTATAAAAGAACAGGTGCGGTTGATCTGTCTTGAATAGAGTAAACAGTATGTTAACCTAACTATAATTATGAATGAACAGGTGCGGTTGATCTGTCTTGAATAGAGTAAACAGTATGTTAACCTAATTATAATTATAAAAGAACAGGTGCGGTTGATCTGTCTTGAATAGAGTAAACAGTATGTTAACCTAACTATAATTATGAATGAACAGGTGCGGTTGATCTGTCTTGAATAGAGTAAACAGTATGTTAACCTAACTATAATTATGAATGAACAGGTGCGGTTGATCTGTCTTGAATAGAGTAAACAGTATGTTAACCTAACTATAATTATGAATGAACAGGTGCGGTTGATCTGTCTTGAATAGAGTAAACAGTATCAGGGTTCGTAGTGGACCGGGAAATCGGGAAATTACCGGGATTTTTTTCGTTGACCTTAAACCGGGATTTTTAGCTTATAAAAGACATTCCGACCTTGAAAAGCCGTGAATTTTGACCTTGACCGCGGCAATGAAATCGTCAGAAATCCTGTGTTTTTCAAGCACAGGCAATTTTGGGGGAGCCATTTGGCTTTTTTGGCCATTTGGCTAGTTTTTGGCTACTTTCGTTGTATGGTCGTTTCAGGTGTGAGGGCAGCTGATTATTGGCTATTATGAATGAACAGGTGCGTAAATGAAGATGCTACAGTTATCATAGAACCCACTGGCATTTAGCTGATATTGAAATGACAGCACATGTCATGTGATCCATTATTTCAGAAAGCTGTCAAGGTTGTAAGGTGTCTTTTGCATCCATTTTGAAAAAACGTGTAAGTAGCTCAGCTTCTTGATTGTGTCTGCAATTGAATTCATTAGTGCATTTTCTTTATCAGTCAGCTGATTTCATTGGTTGCAATCAGAATTACATCATTGTGTCTTTTCTTAAATGAACTCATGACCCGTCAAGGTCATGTGTCATTATTCTGTGTTGTGTTGAAAGGTGTCATAATTCTGTATTGTGTTGAAAGGTGTCATTATTCTGTGTTGTGTTTGTTTTCTGTAAGTATTGAAAATATGTGTACAAAAGATAGGATTTAAATTTTTTTAAAATAAAAACTAAATTGATACTTGAAGGTGGAGATGGCTCGGACATGTTTGCAGAATGCCTGCTGACACTCTGAGAAGGACACTTCTTCAATGGATGGCAGACTGGGGAAAAGGAAGCTAGGATGACGTGGAGAAGGCCTGAAGAAAGGGAAATGAAGGAAAGTAAAATGTCCTGTGATACCATAGGCATAAAAATATCAAGGAAAGATATAAAACCGAACAAAAAGTAAATCAGCGAGCTTCACAATATAACACATACAAAACGTGAACATTGTGGCTTTAGTGCCTTCGACAGCACGTACATAAATCAAACAAAACTACACGAATACCCAAAATCACTTAACTCACAGATGCAGCCACGTGGATGTCTTGCCAGTGCAATGGAAAGAACACTCGACTGAGAATAAGTACATGTAGAATGCCAAGGGCCATAACTCAAGAATTTTAAATGAAATTGTTGACAGTTCAGACCTTTGGGTGTCAAAGTTCCTGAAGTGTAAATAAAGTGATTTTCAAGAGACTTGAGGACTGTCACTGTAGTGGCTAGATTTAATGGCTGTCACCTCCATGTCATAGACACCTTGGTGGTTCTGGGAATTCAAGTACAACAGTACTGGTTTCAAGGCAACATTTTGCACATTCAAAAGATGTTTTCTGAACCTGTTATCCTATCGTAGACCAGTTTCACTAATGTATTTCATGCAACATCTCTTGTGGTTGATGACATTGCGGCTCATGCAGTAGAATGCTTCATCTATATGGAAGGTGGCGATCGTGAATTCCAGACTGGTCCCCTGGACCACATGTAGACAGGTCCTGCACACAGATCTGTGGCAAGAGATCGTTCCGAAGTGGGGCTCAGAACATAACCGACTCTTGACTAGAATGTCCTTGAGGTTACGGTCCTGTCTGTAGGCCACTAGAGGAAGTTCAGAGACAATCTTGCTGGTGCCAGGGTCAGCCCTAAGGATGGAGAGATAGATGCTTAGGAAAATATTTAGGCCTGAAAGCAGCACACTAGCAATATAGGAGGCCACTTGTGAATGTCTTATGTTTTGGCAGCAACATGAAGAGTGTATATATATTAGTGCTTTCCCCTGATCCTGGGATGGTGGAACCTAAGCCTAGCTTTCTTAGATAAAGGTGGGGAAAAAAGACATTGCCCATATTCTGCTTGTTAAAAAAGAGGGAGAAAAGTCTGTTATACAGGCTAAACTAACTCTCAGGTCAGAAAACGAAAAGTCTGTTATCCAGGCTAAACTAACTCTCAGGTCAGAAAACTGTCTTTCAACTTAAGGCTCACAGTTTACTTGTTGAGATACATGGAATCAGTTAGTTCACAGATCATCCTTTCTGTACATGGAATCAGTTAGTTCACAGATCATCCTTTCTGTACATGGAATCAGTTAGTTCACAGATCATCCTTTCTGTACATGGAATCAGTTAGTTCACAGATCATCCTTTCTGTACATGGAATCAGTTAGTTCACAGATCATCCTTTCTGTACATGGAATCAGTTAGTTCACAGATCATCCTTTCTGTACATGGAATCAGTTAGTTCACAGATCATCCTTTCTGTACATGGAATCAGTTAGTTCACAGATCATCCTTTCTGTACATGGAATCAGTTAGTTCACAGATCATCCTTTCTGTACATGGAATCAGTTAGTTCACAGATCATCCTTTCTGTACATGGAATCAGTTAGTTCACAGATCATCCTTTCTGTACATGGAATCAGTTAGTTCACAGATCATCCTTTCTGTACATGGAATCAGTTAGTTCACAGATCATCCTTTCTGTACATGGAATCAGTTAGTTCACAGATCATCCTTTCTGTACATGGAATCAGTTAGTTCACAGATCATCCTTTCTGTACATGGAATCAGTTAGTTCACAGATCATCCTTTCTGTACATGGAATCAGTTAGTTCACAGATCATCCTTTCTGTATATGGAATCAGTCCATAAGTGATCAGATCCCTTTCCAGTATGTTCTCATTTTTTTTTTAAATTGTTCTTCCTCATTTTCTTTTTCTTCAGTGATTTGTCCTTTCTATTCTTGTCGTCTGATCCCTCCCCAGTAGGTTCTCAGCCAGTAGCACCTCACAACACCAGTCTTCTTTTAGCTTAATATTGGCCTCTTGCTTGATGCTTTTACCTTCTTCCCTTTTTTCTTTCTATTCTTTGTCTGTTCGTGTTGGCTAATTCACAGTCATGACTTGACTCTTGTAATCATCCTGTCTCTCTGACAGCATTCAGTGGATCCACTTGGTTGTGGTGGCTAATTCACAGTCATGACTTGACTCTGGTAATCATCCTGTCTCTCTGACAGCATTCAGTGGATCCACTTGGTTGTGGTGGCTAATTCACAGTCATGATTCTGGTAATCATCCTGCCTCTCTGACAGCATTCAGTGGATCCACTTGGTTGTGGTGGCTAATTCACAGTCATGACTTGACTCTTGTAATCATCCTGTCTCTCTGACAGCATTCAGTGGATCCGCTTGGTCCTGGTGCATCGTCTGCTGACAATAGTTCCATCAGCAGGTTCACAGTTTGCCAATAACATTTGATAACTGCAAGCCTTGCCACCAAAATATAAGAGATTTTTTGTGTTGTTTTGTAAGTTGTGATCTTCTCATAGACCCCAACCTTTTTCTTTGAGTTCAACTCCTCTCCATCTTCTTGAGCATACACATTGAATTCACTTGTTTACTTACATTTGATGTTGATACTTTCATCATGAACTGCAGGCAGACAGGTGGGGGGGTATAATACTGCCAGCACTATCATGTGCTGTTTGGTCACCACTCAAACTTGAACCAGTATGTATTCATGGCAGAGATATTAGGATATTTCTTTTCACATTATTATTATGTATGCCAGATTTAGGCAGTCATTTATTAGAATATTGGGATACCTGCTTGCCAGTTTGTACACCCAATATCCTACTTTCTCATGAAGATGTAGCACTGACTAGAAGTGATTGCAAACAAATGCCAGAATAAATCTACAGATCAGTAAAAGTAAACACATTTGAAGGTTTTAAAAAACAAATTCCAGAATAAATCTACAGATCAGTAAAAGTAAACACATTTGAAGGTTTTAAACAACAAATTCCCTTCATTTCTGGAGAAACTGAATTTGCTTCTGTGAGACATTCCTTGTTGAATGTTCAGAATTCTCTGCCTGGCTTCTTGTTTTGTGTGCCTTCCTTCTGTAACAGAATATTCTTTTGTTGGCACTTTGTGCTGGTTGAGTTGAGTACATTCAGACTGAATGTTTATATTTTATATTTTGGTTTTGCTTTGTGATGTACCTGATGCTTTGTGTTTTTTCATTAGTTTTGCACACATGCTCCTTTATTTTTTCTTTCCTAGTTATTTCAGACACAAAAACACACTTATGCACACACACAGACACACACATACACTTATTGTTGAGTCTGATTCAGTTTTGTCCGTCCTCTTCTACCTTTTTCTCCTGCTGTTGTTTCTCTTCTTCTTTGGTTAAATTTTTTTTCTTATTTCTTATTTTCTTTTTCACTGATAAAGTTTTTTTATGAGTTCATTCCTGCTACAATACTACACTGAGAAGGACTATGACAGTTATTGATAAAGTTTTGGTATGCGTTCATTCCTGCTACAATACTACACTGAGAAGGACTATGACAGTTATGAGATAAAGTTTACAGTGAGTAATGTAAACCAAATAAGAGTAACTGAACAAATATTACAGTGACTAATGTATGACCTAAGAGTGATAAAGTTTTGGTATTACAGTGACTAATGTAGACCTAACAGTGAGAAGGACTATTACAGTGACTAATGATAGAAGTTTTGAGTATGAGAACCATTATTACAGTACAATACTAATGTGAGAACCAACTATTACAGTGACTAATGAGAACTAAGAGTGAGTATGAGTACAGAGTGACTAATGTAGACCTAAGAGTGAGAACCAAATACAGTGACTAATTAGACCTACAGTGAGACTATGACAGTGTAGAGACCTAAGAGTGAGAAACCAAAATATACAGTGAGAATGACTATACAGTGAGAAACCAAATATTTTTGGTGACTAATGTAGACCTAAGAGTAAGAGAACCAAATATTACAGTGACTAATGTAGACCTAACCTAAGAGTGAGAACCAAATATTACAGTGACTAATGTAGACCTAAGAGTGAGAAATGTAGACAAGAGTGAGAAACTAACAGTGACTAATGTAGACCTAAGAGTGAGAACCAAATATTACAGAGTGACTAATGTAGACCTAAGAGTGAGAAACCAAATATTACAGTGACTAATATTACAAACAAATATTACAGAGTGACTAATGTAGACCTAAGAGTGAGAACCAAATATTACAGAGTGACTAATGTAGACCTAAGAGTGAGAACCAAATATTACAGAGTGACTAATGTAGACCTAAGAGTGAGAACCAAATATTACAGAGTGACTAATGTAGACCTAAGAGTGAGAAACAAATATTACAGTGACTAATGTAGACCTAAGAGTGAGAACCAAATATTACAGAGTGACTAATGTAGACCTAAGAGTGAGAACTAAACAAACTTCAGTAACCAAGATGTAAGGAAAAGATTCCTTTCGACTCTCATTGAGAAAATCTGATAGTATTATGACTATTATGCCCTCACACTGGAACTCACAGAGCAAAAGAAATATATGGAGGTCTTTTTGTTCGTCCGAGTGACGTAAATGCATTGTGCCTGTTTAAATCAGGTACATTTTTTTGGCACATTAGAGACATCTTAAATGTTGTTTCATATGGAAACTTAGCAAGACAGTATGGTAATTGGGGCCAGTGGTAACAGACATGTAAATCTTTCTGCCAGTTTGTAGGACTTTTTCTATTGGACATTAAGGACTTTTCTTTTGGCTATTGGACATGTGTCAGATAGACGTTTATGCCAAATCAGCACACTGACAGTGGCAGATTGATATAGTGTACCTAAAGCGGAGACGACGATGTTGAGGAACAGCAAGGGATGTTTGGAGACAGGACTGTTCCTTGAGTTAGCTGACTTTACTAATGTTTCAAATGACACGTTTCCACCCATGCATTGGGGGTGGTTGCTGAGAGCCAGACTGGACACTACATCTCTGGGAGCCACCAACTCTGAGATCCCCTGCCATCTCTGTTAAGGTCACAATGGTAAGCCCTTATCTGTGACACACAACATGGATCTGCGGCAGGAATCTTGTTTGAGGATCCATAAAACCATCCACAAGATGGCTGGGGCCCCAGGTGAGGTACAGAGTAACTCCTTATACATAACCATCCACAAGATGGCTGGGGCCCCAGGTGAGGTACAGAGTAACTCCTTATACATATCAAAATAGCCTTAGCTTTCTCTCACGCCTGTGATCGGTATCACAGCGCCACCTATATGGAGATAAAAAAAACATGTATAAGAGACATAAGTTGGCGAAAGGACATAACAGCTAGTGAGAGTTGGTAGAGAGTTGTTGCTGTCTCAGGGACAAAGGACAGAGAATATGAAGAATGTCCGCAAGTGTCACTTATCTTTTCATGCAGACAGACACGCAGGGGGCTTTGATATTTTAATTTTAATGACTGAATATTTTGGGACAAATGTGTGCAAAGAGCAGTAACTACGACTAAAACTAGTTTTATTTAAAAATGTGCTGAGCTGTATGTTAAAATATGCATTGACAACCTCAAAAAGTCCGCCTCAAGAAACTATCTTGGCTGTGCACACCAGGACATACCAGGGTGAAAGGCAATGAAAGAGCTGACAGTGTCTGCAATGATTGGTGCAGAAAGAAGTATGAACAGGGCAGATCAGCGAATGCACTGTGTTCCACAGATGTTGAGGGAGGTTCAGCATGAAAACCGCCTGCAGGAAATGGGCACTGAGCAAGGACAAGCATACAGAAGCCAGTTGTATGGCAAAGACAGAAGAAAGGCCAGTTAGCTCCTTACTGGCTACTGTGAGCAGGGAGACATACAGATGGCTAGCTACTGTAAGCAGGGAGACATACAGATGACTGGCTACTGTAAGCAGGGAGACATACAGATGGCTGGCTACTGTGAGCAGGGAGACATACAGATGACTGGCTACTGTGAACAGGGAGACATACAGATGATTGGCTACTGTGAACAGGGAGACATACAGATGACTGGCTACTGTGAGCAGGGAGACATACAGATGGCTGGCTACTGTAAGCAGGGAGACATACAGATGGCTGGCTACTGTGAGCAGGGAGACATACAGATGACTGGCTACTGTGAACAGGGAGACATACAGATGATTGGCTACTGTGAACAGGGAGACATACAGATGACTGGCTACTGTAAGCAGGGAGACATACAGATGGCTGGCTACTGTAAGCAGGGAGACATACAGATGATTGGCTACTGTGAGCAGGGAGACATACAGATTGCTGGCCACTGTGAGCAGGGAGACATACAGATGATTGGCTACTGTGAGCAGGGAGACATACAGATGACTGGCTACTGTGAGCAGGGAGACATACAGATGATTGGCTACTGTGAACAGGGAGACATACAGATGACTGGCTACTGTGAGCAGGGAGACATACAGATGGCTGGCTACTGTAAGCAGGGAGACATACAGATGGCTAGCTACTGTGAGCAGGGAGACATACAGATGACTGGCTACTGTAAGCAGGGAGACATACAGATGGCTGGCTACTGTGAGCAGGGAGACATACAGATGATTGGCTACTGTGAGCAGGGAGACATACAGATGGCTGGCTACTGTGAGCAGGGAGACATGACTGGCCACTGTGAGCAGGGAGACATGACTGGCCACTGTGAGCAGGGAGACATGACTGGCCACTGTGAGCAGGGAGACATACAGATGGCTGGCCACTGTGAGCAGGGAGACATACAGATGATTGGCTACTGTGAGCAGGGAGACATACAGATGGCTGGCCACTGTGAGCAGGGAGACACTGTACAGAGACATGATGGCTGCTACTGTGAGCAGGGAGACATACAGATGACTGGCCACTGTGAGCAGGGAGACATACAGATGGCTGGCCACTGTGAGCAGGGAGACATACAGCTACTGTGAGCAGGGAGACATACAGATGGCTGGCCACTGTGAGCAGGGAGACATACAGCTACTGTGAGCAGGGAGACATACAGCTACTGTGAGCAGGGAGACATACAGCTACTGTGAGCAGGGAGACATACAGCTACTGTGAGCAGGGAGACATACAGATGGCTGGCTACTGTGAGCAGGGAGACATACAGATGGCTGGCTACTGTGAGCAGGGAGACATACAGATGGCTGGCTACTGTGAGCAGGGAGACATACAGATGGCTGGCTACTGTGAGCAGGGAGACATACAGATGGCTGGCTACTGTGAGCAGGGAGACATACAGATGGCTGGCTACTGTGAGCAGGGAGACATACAGATGCTTGGCTACTGTGAGCAGGGAGACATACAGATGGTAAAAAGTGTGAGAGGGACACATACAGATGGCTGGCTACTGTGAGCAGGGAGACAAACAGATGGCCGACATCATGGATCGGGAGACATTGGTTGGTTTGATAAAACAACAGATATCATATCGCACATTGGTTTGTTTGATAAAACAACAGATATCATATCGCACACTGTTTTGTTTGATAAAACAACAGATATCATATCGCACATTGGTTTGTTTGATAAAACAACAGATATCATATCGCACATTGGTTTGTTTGATAAAACAACAGATATCATATCGCACATTGGTTTGTTTGATAAAACAACAGATATCATATCACACATTGATTTGTTTAATAAAACAACTGATATATCGCACATTGGTTTGTTTGATAAAACAACAGATATCATTTCGCACATTGGTTTGTTTGATAAAACAGCAGATATCATATCGCACATTGGTTTGTTTGATAAAACAACAGATATCATATCGCACATTGGTTTGTTTGATAAAACAACAGATATCATATCGCACATTGGTTTGTTTGATAAAACAACAGATATCAAATCACACATTGGTTTGTTTGATAAAACAACAGATATCATATCGCACATTGGTTTGTTTGATAAAACAACAGATATCATACACACATTGGTTTGTTTGATAAAACAACAGATATCATATCACACATTGGTTTGTTTGATAAAACAGATATCATATTGCACATTGGTTTGTTTGATAAAACAACAGATATCATACACACATTGGTTTGTTTGATAAAACAACAGATATCAAATCACACATTGGTTTGTTTGATAAAACAACAGATATCATACACACATTGGTTTGTTTGATAAAACAACAGATATCATTCACACATTGGTTTGTTTGATAAAACAACAGATATCATATCGCACACTGTTTTGTTTGATAAAACAACAGATATCATATCGCACATTGGTTTGTTTGATAAAACAACAGATATCATATCGCACATTGGTTTGTTTGATAAAACAACAGATATCATATCGCACACTGTTTTGTTTGATAAAACAACAGATATCATATCGCACATTGGTTTGTTTGATAAAACAACAGATATCATATCGCACATTGGTTTGTTTGATAAAACAACAGATATCATATCACACATTGATTTGTTTAATAAAACAACAGATATATCGCACATTGGTTTGTTTGATAAAACAACAGATATCATATCGCACATTGGTTTGTTTGATAAAACAACAGATATCATATCACACATTAATTTGTTTGATAAAACAACAGAATCAAATCACACATTGGTTTGTTTGATACACAGTATCACCACTGGTGGCTTGCAACACAGTATCACCACTGGTGGCTTGCAACACAGTATCACCACTGGTGGCTTGCAACACAGTATCACCACTGGTGGCTTGCAACACAGTATCACCACTGGTGGCTTGCAACACAGTATCACCACTGGTGGCTTGCAACACAGTATCACCACTGGTGGCTTGCAACACAGTATCACCACTGGTGGCTTGCAACACAGTATCACCACTGGTGGCTTGCTACCCTTGACTGGGTGAAAACAATAACAAATACAATGTATGTCAAAGCCTGATCCTGTAATTATGGGATGACGTTTTCTTTCCAAATCTGTATCTATTTATTTTATGCATTACAGTGCTTGCATGACCAGTGTTCCAGGGTTTATTTGATATTTACAGCTAACATTTCTATGTTGAGTCGGCTCACACTAACTAGTCATGTCGTGTTTGCATTGCTAACATTCTGATCATTGCAAGTTGCTTTGCTTGTTTTGCCTATAGCTGTACTGTCGACACTGTGGCTACAGTTTTTGTAACAGATGTTGTTACCAAATGGTTCCTCGTTCAGTGTTTGGAGCAACTTGTAAGTCAGTGTCCCTGCATGTTTAGTTTTAACAGTTGTTTTATGTGTGCCTTTTTATTGAATACCAGCCACTTTTTATCTGTTTAATGTGTGCATATTTGACTAAACTTTTTTGCTTTTTGAATACTTTCTTCTTTTTATCGAATTTTTTAATGTTTTTGAATTATTATGTAGCCCTGTTAAATATGTGGTTTGTGTGTGTGTCTCTCTCTTTCTGTCTCTCTCTTTAACCTACTGACTGCTACGCCCTTTAACCCTTGCACTTTCACCGATACCACCTATTTTAGTGTGTTCTAAAAATGCCATAGCTTCACAGCTATTTAACAAAAATGTAAAATATTTTGTGTTTTGCACCAAATTGAATGGAAAACAAACAAGTCTGGAGAACAAGAACTATAATCTTGTTGTACGTCATCATATCACTGTACATTGATGTTTTTAAAGGCAGTTCATAAGAATGATCAAAGTTAAGTCGTGAAACTGTTCAGAACTGTCTTCACCTTCACTTTCCAATTTCAAACGATCAAGTCAATATCCCATAGCTTCAGGAATATTCAAATATATAGATATGGGAGATCACCCCAAAAAATAATGGAATATTTACTTTAAGCACTACTAAATTGTTTCCCTTTAAAAACTATAAAGAAATGAGTGGACTAAAGGTTTCAACGACATTTATTGCACAAGTTGAAATTTTAACATGCTTTTGAGCATCCAAAATTATGATTGCAAGGGGTGCGATTGTGGTAGCCAGGTGTAAATGTCGGCAGATCGCATAACATACAGTCATGGTAGTCAGTGGTTTCAAGTATGTTGATGCTGCTAATTTTATTTAGTGTTTGTTATGTAAAGATCACAAGTCAGTGCCATTTTTCTATTGTTTGTTATGTAAAGGCCCAGGCCTTGAGGCCAGAAATATTGAGCAAGTCCTACATTTTTGTTTAGATCATTCATCATTCAGTGGGTCACATGGCTGTCACTCAGTGAGTCACATGGCTGTCACTCAGTGAGTCACATGGTTGTCACTCAGATAGTCACTGTCTGCTGGAGTTTACCACCGGTGAACGTAAAGAAGAAGAATAAGATATCTAGAGTTAAGACAGATCACCAGTTGCTACATCAGTAGAGCAGGTGTATTGACAGTCAACATACACTATTGTGTGATCCTAATTTAACTGATTCAAAAAAGTCACCTGAAATCTCAGAATGCGATTGTTCCCGAAGAATCTTAAAATATTTTATTATAAATTTATTAATGTGTTATGGCCGTTATTTATGATAAAAATATCCCCCAAAAGTGTCAGAATACAAGGGAAACTAATTATAAACATTTGGAAATTACTAACATTTCACCAGTATAAAATAAAATAAAGCTGAGGGCTTAACAATGTTAAGAATAGACGTCGGTATCTCCTGTGAGACTATGTCGATCAGAATGTGCTGCTATTTTAGTAATATAGGAATTAGTAACGCACCTTGAGAAATTTAAGAAAAATCCCAAAAGAGGCAATAATTTCAACAACACAATCATATGTGTAACAGGTTCACAAGGCTCAAATATGTGCACGGTTTTTAAAATAAATGTAGTTCAGACTTCCTATGAATATTCTGTACGTAAAAAGGACCTTGACATACGACACATTGAATGTTACATATGGGAATAGCAAATCACACATTGTTTACTGCAGGAAGGTAAATAACTGGAGATAAAATGGAAACGGCCAGTTCTAAGTTTTACTTTGTAGGGTGTCTGAGACAGCCAGAACTTGCAGCTTGTTTGTTGACACACACTGTGTATTGTTGCAGGGTGTCTGAGACAGCCAGAACTTGCAGCTTGTTTGTTGACACACATTGTGTATTGTTGCAGGGTGTCTGAGACAGCCAAAACTTGCAGCTTGTTTGTTGACACACACACTGTGTTTTGTTGTAGGGTGTCTGAGACAGTCAGAACTTGCAGCTTGTTTGTTGACACTGTGTTTTGTTGCAGGGTGTCTGAGACAGCCAGAACTTGCAGCTTGTTTGTTGACACACATTGTGTATTGTTGTAGGGTGTCTGAGACAGTCAGAACTTGCAGCTTGTTTGTTGACACACACTGTGTATTGTTGTAGGATGTCTGAGACAGCCAGAACTTGCAGCTTGTTTGTTGACACACACTGTGTATTGTTGTAGGGTGTCTGAGACAGTCAGAACTTGGAGCTTGTTTGTTGACACACACTGTGTATTGTTGTAGGGTGTCTGAGACAGTCAGAACTTGCAGCTTGTTTGTTTGACACACACTGTGTATTGTTGTAGGGTGTCTGAGACAGTCAGAACTTGCAGCTTGTTTGTTGACACACACTGTGTATTGTTGTAGGGTGTCTGAGACAGTCAGAACTTGCAGCTTGTTTGTTGACACACACTGTGTATTGTTGTAGGGTGTCTGAGACAGTCAGAACTTGCAGCTTGTTTGTTGACACACACTGTGTATTGTTGTAGGGTGTCTGAGACAGTCAGAACTTGCAGCTTGTTTGTTGACACACACTGTGTATTGTTGTAGGGTGTCTGAGACAGTCAGAACTTGCAGCTTGTTTGTTGACACACACAGTGTATTGTTGTAGGATGTCTGAGACAGTCAGAACTTGCAGCTTGTTTGTTGACACACACTGTGTATTGTTGTAGGGTGTCTGAGACAGTCAGAACTTGCAGCTTGTTTGTTGACACACACAGTGTATTGTTGTAGGATGTCTGAGACAGTCAGAACTTGCAGCTTGTTTGTTGACACACACAGTGTATTGTTGTAGGATGTCTGAGACAGTCAGAACTTGCAGCTTGTTTGTTGACACACACTGTGTATTGTTGTAGGGTGTCTGAGACAGTCAGAACTTGCAGCTTGTTTGTTGACACACACTGTGTATTGTTGTAGGGTGTCTGAGACAGTCAGAACTTGCAGCTTGTTTGTTGACACACACTGTGTATTGTTGTAGGGTGTCTGAGACAGTCAGAACTTGGAGCTTGTTTGTTGACACACACTGTGTTTTGTTGTAGGGTGTCTGAGACAGTCAGAACTTGCAGCTTGTTTGTTGACACACACTGTGTATTGTTGTAGGGTGTCTGAGACAGTCAGAACTTGCAGCTTGTTTGTTGACACACACTGTGTTTTGTTGTAGGATGTCTGAGACAGCCAGAACTTGCAGCTTGTTTGTTGACACACACTGTGTATTGTTGTAGGAGACAGCCAGAACTGTCTGAGACAGTCAGAACTTGCAGCTTGTTTGTTGACACACACTGTGTTTTGTTGTAGGATGTCTGTGAGACAGCCAGAACTTGCAGCTTGTTGTTGACACACATTGTGTATTGTTGTAGGGTGTCTGAGACAGTCAGAACTTGCAGCTTGTTTGTTGACACACACTGTGTTTTGTTGTAGGATGTCTGAGACAGCCAGAACTTGCAGCTTGTTTGTTGACACACATTGTGTATTGTTGTAGGATGTCTGAGACAGCCAGAACTTGCAGCTTGTTTGTTGACACACACACTGTGTATTGTTGTAGGGTGTCTGAGACAGCCAGAACTTGCAGCTTGTTTGTTGACACACACACTGTGTATTGTTGTAGGATGTCTGAGACAGCCAGAACTTGCAGCTTGTTTGTTGACACACATTGTGTATTGTTGTAGGGTGTCTGAGACAGTCAGAACTTGCAGCTTGTTTGTTGACACACATTGTGTATTGTTGTAGGGTGTCTGAGACAGCCAGAACTTGCAGCTTGTTTGTTGACACACATTGTGTATTGTTGTAGGGTGTCTGAGACAGCCAGAACTTGCAGCTTGTTTGTTGACACACATTGTGTATTGTTGTAGGGTGTCTGAGACAGTCAGAACTTGCACCTTGTTTGTTGACACACATTGTGTTTTGTTGTAGGATGTCTGAGACAGTCAGAACTTGCACCTTGTTTGTTGAGTGTATGTTGTAGGATGTCTGAGACAGCCAGAACTTGCAGCTTGTTTGTTGACACACATTGTGTATTGTTGTAGGATGTCTGAGACAGCCAGAACTTGCAGCTTGTTTGTTGACACACATTGTGTATTGTTGTAGGGTGTCTGAGACAGTCAGAACTTGCAGCTTGTTTGTTGACACACACTGTGTATTGTTGTAGGATGTCTGAGACAGCCAGAACTTGCACCTTGTTTGTTGACACACACTGTGTATTGTTGTAGGATGTCTGAGACAGCCAGAACTTGCAGCTTGTTTGTTGACACACACTGTGTATTGTTGTAGGATGTCTGAGACAGCCAGAACTTGCAGCTTGTTTGTTGACACACACTGTGTATTGTTGTAGGGTGTCTGAGACAGTCAGAACTTGCAGCTTGTTTGTTGACACACACTGTGTATTGTTGTAGGGTGTCTGAGACAGTCAGAACTTGCAGCTTGTTTGTTGACACACACTGTGTATTGTGTATTGTTGTAGGATGTCTGAGACAGTCCAGAACTTGCAGCTTGTTTGTTGACACACACTTGTGTATTGTTGTAGGGTGTCTGAGACAGTCAGAACTTGCAGCTTGTTTGTTGACACACACTGTGTATTGTTGTAGGGTGTCTGAGACAGTCAGAACTTGCAGCTTGTTTGTTGACACACACTGTGTATTGTTGTAGGATGTCTGAGACAGCCAGAACTTGCAGCTTGTTTGTTGACACACACTGTGTATTGTTGTAGGGTGTCTGAGACAGTCAGAACTTGCAGCTTGTTTGTTGACACACACTGTGTTTTGTTGTAGGATGTCTGAGACAGTCAGAACTTGCAGCTTGTTTGACACACACTGTGTATTGTTGTAGGGTGTCTGAGACAGTCAGAACTTGCAGCTTGTTTGTTGACACACACTGTGTTTTGTTGTAGGGTGTCTGAGACAGTCAGAACTTGCAGCTTGTTTGTTGACACACACACTGTGTATTGTTGTAGGATGTCTGAGACAGCCAGAACTTGCAGCTTGTTTGTTGACACACACTGTGTATTGTTGTAGGGTGTCT